TGCGTTCCCGTCCCCATCCCGGTGTGTTCCCATCCCCATCCTTGGCCCGTTCCCGTCCCCAGTGCGTTCCTGTCCCCATCCCCGGTGTGTTCCTGCCCCTGTCCCCATCCCCAGGGCGTTCCCGTCCCCATCCCAGTGTGTTCCCGTCCCTATCCCCAGTGTGTTCCCGTCCCTATCCTTGGCCCGTTCCCGTTCCCAGTGCGTTCCCATCCCCATCCCCTGCGCATTCCCATCCCCAATGTGTTCCCATCCCCATCCCAGTGTGCAGGGCTGCCCGTTCAGCGGAGCCTCCTGCCCCACAGAAGCCTGCGGGCAGCAGCCTCTGCCCTGATGCGTGTTCCCGAGCTCAGGAAAGAATTCCCGAGTTGTTTTTCAGCCAAAGTTTCATCTTTCCCAAGTCTATCCTAAGGGACTTCTGTATCTGAGCCCCCTCCAGCACTGCCCTTTGGATTGGGAATTCTTTTAACCCTTTCCTTCCTTTTCCCCCAGCAAAGGTGCCAGGATCACACAGCCCTGCTGCAACCTCCTGGATTTAGGAGCCCGGGGGCGGCTCCGTCCACCCTGCCGGGGACCCGGAGCTCCTGCCGTCCCCAAAGAGCCGTTTGCGCTGCGGAAAGGCCCCTGTGGCCGCAAGTGCCGGGTGTCCCCGCGCAGGCGCCGCTCCGGCCGTTGGTTGATCCAGGATGCGGCTGTTTGCTCGCCGCCTCGCGCGGCGCCCCACGCCCCGGGCCCTCCTCAAATATTGTCTCTGCTCCAAGGGCTGGAGCCGCACGGGGCCTCCCGGCCCGCGGAGGGACGAGGCCCTGGGCGCAGGGTCAGGTCCTGCTGCCCCGCACGGGCGTTTCGGGGTCCTGAGCCCTGTTTGGCACCCGCTGCTCTGCACAGAGTGACACGTTCAGCAGTTCTGCTCCCACACGGCCCTGCCGAGCTCTGGGATGCTGCTCCTCGCCTCCCCTTTTGCCCCAGAAAGGACAGAAAATGGCCATTTCCCACCCAAAATGCTGTTCATTGCTGGTCACAGCACAATCACAGACCCGCAGCTCCAGCTCTTACAGGCGCCGCTACAAGTTTTATTGCAAGGGCCGACGCGTTCGGTAAAACAGTATCAAAACTATGTACAAAACCAGCGGCCGGAGCGCGGGCCCAACCTTGCA